TTATCTACACAACGAATATATCCTATGCCCCAGACTCGTCTGAAAAGATATGAGAAACGCTGCGGAGTTATTCTCACATCATATACATAATTTTTACACAAATATTGTGTAAAYAATTTTTTTATAAAATTGGAAACATTTAATAATATATTGATACATTAATTAATATTTTGGACAAAAGTGATTAAATTTAATATTTAGGAATTTAAGTAATCGAAAAATATTTGTATATTTTATAAAAATATTGTTAAAGTTATAAATTTTAAGACTTAACACGGCAACACACTATAGCAGATTTGAGGCATTTGAACGTTTCAGTAGTAGAATATTTGGGGGCAACCCGAACCAAGTGCCAAATTTGTAGTAGAATATTTAGGGGCAACCCGTACCAAGTGCCTAATTTGTAGTAGATTTTTGCGTATGTGTTAGTGAAAAATGAAGAATTGGTTACTTGTAGGTTTGTACAATGATACAATGTTCGAAACCTTCATAGAAAGAAAACTGCTCAAGAGACAGCTTACTGCTTTCAATATATGGCATACTAATTAGTATTCCCTATATTGTTTTAAATAAGCAATAGGGAGTCTCCGCAGGCAATAGGCACGGCAATACAGTTAGTATAACATAAATTTTATCCTGTCGAAATGCCCCGTTATGCCATGGTTTAAAGTGCCCATACACGACACACATGTGCGTTCCATCGGTGTGTGTGCGCATGCGGTTTACTCGTGTACGGGCTTGAGCGCGTACCGATCCATGTTCGCGAAAATGTTTGATTTTTTACGATCGGTGTGAGCACATGTGGGCAATTGCCCAATGCATCTCGCATGTGGGCATCTCGCAATTTCTATCGGATACAAAAAAATTCAAAGATATTCATATTTTTTAAGAACTTATGTTCTGATTAAACTAAGAACATTCCAAAAAGAAGTGTAAAATTTAAAAAAAATTTAATAATTGAAAATAGTGGCTTTTGTCGAAAAGAAATTTACTCAATGTTGTTTAAAAATATCTTCAAATTTGATTTTTCTTAGTTTATTTATTATAGTTTAGATAGAAGATACTTTGTTGTCAAAGATAATAAACTTTGGCCCATATTCCATAGAACATTTAGTCGCCAATTAAGTAAAATCGTAAGAATGAAAAACCGAGAAAACGCGCGTCATAGTTTTCCATTCTAGCTTCGATAATATTTCGAATTCCCATCCATAACTTTGGGGACATATCCTTAGATAATTTTTAAAGAGTTTTGGGCAAAAAAACGATTGTTTGAAGCTTCTAAAGCAGGCTACCCCATTAATAAAGATTTCGTATCAGAATTTATTGATCTTATAAAAAATTAATTAGCAATTTGCCAAAAGAAAAGTGATAAATATAAAAGTAAAATTGAGAAAAATAAAAGTTGGAATAACTTATTAACCAAATACAAAGAAATAGATTAAAGTGCTAAAATGGATATGTGTGTCGTGTATGGGCGAAACGAATTCACACAGAGCGAACGCACAAGTGTGTCGTGTATGGGCCCTATTATACAATGGATTGCTAAACAATTATGTTGGTTTTTTGGCAATGTAAAGTTTTATTTGAATCGTTAGACTTCAATTCAAAAAGTTGGAGTACATTTTATTGTCAAATCTGTAGCAATTGTATTTTTAAATAAAAAATGGCGGGCATGGGTAACTTATCGATCGCAGAAAAGGAAGAACTTATTGGGCAAGTGAAGCAGCAAATTGCAGTGGCTAATGCTCAAGAATTGTTGACGGTGGAGGAGCACATGAGTTTTGCTTGAAAATTACATAATCAATATTCTCGGTTTTATATTTTCAGAAAATGACCGAGAAGTGCTTCAAAAAATGTGTTGCTAAACCAGGTGTACAATTGGATTCTTCTGAACAGGTGATATATTAAATATATGCTGACTCAAAATAAGTGTTTGTGAAATAAGCATCGCTGATAATTCCTATCAACCTATTTATACTTTTGAGTCTATTAAATTATTTCAATGTATTTGGACATGATACCATAATTATTAATTTCAGAAATGTATTTCAATGTGCATGGATAGGTACATGGATTCCTGGAATTTGGTGTCACGCACTTACAGCAATCGTTTACAACGTGAACAGAATAAGATGTAGAAGTGTGCAAATATAGTGTTGTTCGACGATTTGCAAATTTTACTTGTCATCAATCATGATTTAGTTTTATAAACAATATTTTAGGCAAATGTTGTTACTTTCAAATTCTGCTGATTTAAAACATAATATTTTGTTATATAAATAAATTTTACAAATTAACAGCCCTATTCTCATGTACACAAAAATCACCGCCCTCACTATTGTTAGGTTTTCCATATGCTGATCTCCAAAAGTTTAAATTGTCATAATCTCACAAATTCTTGATGTCTGAGCAAACCTAACACTGCAAAGTCTGCTGTTTGTTTTGTTAATTTCAATGTTTTTTAAATAAATTACAATATTTTTTTTATAGAAATAGGGTGAAGGAAGGCGTTATCAATTGTATATAAATATTTGTCTATTACAATAAATATGTAACTTACGGTCTTTGAACATTTTACTTCCTTCTAAGTATGAATAAATGGCACGATTCCGATTACTTTGGCGGAAGTAAAAAAAACTGAATTCCCATAAAAATGGGGTATGCACAGATAGGGGAGCTTCTCCAGAGGAGGAATATCTAAAAATATTATAAAACTAACTAATATTTTTTAAAATATTCACGTTTAAAAATTCAAAAATTTGCACTAAGAACAAATGTTATTTCTCTATGTTCCATTAAATTTTTTCACATTTTTTTATATGTATATTATATTTAATAAACACAGATAAGTGAAATCGTGTGATAATATTATAATATTTATATGATTGTGTTGTTGTTGTTGTTGTTGTTGTTGTTGTTGTTGTTGTTGTAGCGGCAGGGTTCTATAGGGATCGCATATGATTGTGTAATATAACATTGTTATTTACATATTACAATTTTATACTATCCTTCTGCGTTTTCGGCCTTCGGCCGCGCTCTACAAAAATAACTCTCGCCGAACGAATATTCAGCCCTGAAGTACTCTCGCGTAGTACTCGTTTCTGCGTTAACGGCCTTCGGCCGCGCTCTAAGAAAATAACCGTGGCCGAGGGAATATCTGGGGTGACTGAAGCTCTTTCGCGTAATACTCCTGTCTGCGTTGGCAGCCTTTTGCCTCCCTTTAAAAAAATAACCCTGGCCGAACGAATACCCGGGGTGACTGAAGCACTTTCGCGTAGTACTCCCTATATTGGGTTTTTGTTATAAAGTGGTTATATTTTTTGGTTATCATGCACTCATATTGAAACAAAGTTTGAGTTTTCGTTATAAAATGGATAAATTTTAGTTATTAAATCTGTCAGCGATTTCCATTTATTTTGGATACATTGTTTTGTATTTTAGGTAACGATACATATATTTTTATATTTAAAATTTGAGTTTTGGATATAAAGTAGTTATATTTTTTGGTTATCATACACTAAATATCAACCCCTCCAAGACGTCAGTAATCCCATTTACGAGAACCAGGACCCTACCCGGTCTTAGGAATCTCTTACGGGCGGGTAGTGAAATAGGGATGACCAACAGTGTTAAATACCTCGGGTTAACGCTAGACTCCACGCTGAGGTGGAAGCAGCACGTAAACCTGACATTGGTCAAGGCGACAAAGGCCTTAATGGTGTGCAATCGGCTGGCAGGAAGGTCCTGGGGTTTAACGCCGAGCATAGTTAGATGGTTGTGCACCATGATAGTAAGACCGGTAATCACATATGGGGCGGTAGCCTGTGCCTCAGTAGCGTCGCAAACATAGGTTAAGACAAAACTACTGAAGCTACAGCGGCTGGCCTGTGGCTGCATGACGGGCGCAATACGAACCTGTCCAACGGCAGCACTGGAGGTTCTTCTTGAACTTACTCCGCTTCATYTGGTCATCGGTCTGGTAGCCAAACACACTCTTCTGCAAATAACGGCAGAGGGGTGTGGAAAAGGAAAAATAGTCTCATCCCAGAGAATGGAGATGATAAGTGGCAAGTTACCACTGGTCCTCCTCCCGAGGGATAGTACTACTAAAAAGGTTAACCTCAGGATGAAGTTTAAGGTTACCCTCGGCAGCAAAGACGATTGGAACGACTCCAACCTCGAGCGGATGTTGAGGAACAGTACTATGAGGTGGTACACAGATGGCTCAAAAATGTCGGGGGGAATCGGCGCAGGGATTGTGGGCCCACGCACTAGGCTCCTAGTACCCATGGGTGAGTTCCCGAGCATTTTCCAGGCAGAAGTTTATGCTATAAGCCGGGCATAGAAATAAACTTCCATCGCAATGAGCGTATAGCCATTCTCAGCGATAGTCAAGCGGCGCTAAAGGCGATCTCCTCTTACGAGATCAAGTCGCTTCTAAGCAGGAGTGCAGGGAGAGGCTGAATAGCCCTGCGGAAAGAAACCAGGTACACCTGATCTGGATCCGCAGCCTCCACCAGGATGGTAAGACCCGAACCCTTTACGGGTGTGGGTCCCCATACCATGAAGGAGCTGCTCCGTGAAAAGAAAAGAGCACTGGCGACAAACTCATGGTATGAGACACGCCAAGCTGCTAATGGGAGGTTACAACCTGAAAAGGTTCGAAATCGTAATAAACCTCCCCAGGAGCAAACTCAGGCTGTTAGTGCCATGGTATACTGGCCACTGTAAGCTAAATAGGCGTCTGCACAGCATGGGCCTATCAGCTTGCGCCAACTGCCGTTTCTGCGACAGGGAGCCTGAAACTCCGGAGCATCTGATGATCGACTACACAGCAGTCTGTAGACGCAGGGCTAAGGCCTTTGGAGTGTTGTTTCCGGTTAAGGATCGCATTGCCTCGCTAGCGCCAAGTAGTCTACTGGATTTCATTAATGGGCTGGGTCTAAGCGAGTCAATGTGAGTAAGGAGAGGGCACAATAGACCAAAGGTCGCAGTGCACTCCTCATTATACATTCATTCATTCATTTCGTATGCTCATGTTGAAACAAAATTTGAGTTTTCGTATTGTACTTGTATACTTTACACTTTATTACGTAATGTTATCATATAATATTACTTATACATATGAATATAAAATATATAATATTACTATTACATGTATATAATTTTGCTTATTTGCTTAAGAAATTTAAAAAAGAAAATATCTGTATGTATGAATAGAGGAATTTTTGCGAAAAAGAGGAGTTTCAGCGAATTGCCTTATTACACATGTTAGCGCTCCATTTCGTCGTAATTTTTGGTAAACAAATGAGGTTCAAACGAGAGTAAAATGTAATTTTTAAAATAAAGATTTTTTAGGTAATAAACCTACTAAAAGTGTAAAATGTGGATTTAATTAAAAGTTTATAGTGTAAATTATTTAATTTGAAGGAAAAAATGTGAATAAAGTGTATTTAATGTCGTGAAATAGCTTATTGAAATGTTCGAATTTTTGAACTTTACTGTCGAATATCTCGTCAGCTAAGCGTTTACGGTACCCTATATATTTTTTAATCAGGAGGACTCCTTCCTAAGGTACCTTCAAATCGCGGCGCCAAAGAAATCGGAATTGTGCTGAATAAATAGACATTAACATATTTATATTTAAATAATTTGGAAAATATTTTATTTGTATTAATGTATATACATGTGTATGTATTTGATAATGTGCGGGCACGATTCCGATAACTTTGGCGGAGGGGTAAAAAAAAACTAATTTCCGAATAAATGGGGTATGTGCGGATAGAGGATCTTCTCGGGAGGAGGAATATGCAAAAATATTGTAAAAATAGCATACAGTGGACCAAAAAAGTTTACATACACCTAGTTCTATTAAATTACGACACGTTTATTTGTTATAATTATATATAATTATTATATTAATAAATTTTGTAATTTTTTTCTATCCACCTCAAAAGATGTATACTTAAGATTAAATTTAGCATACCAAAATGTTTTTTTTTTAACAAATAAAAAAATTAATGCTAAAGTTATAATGGGCATAATTTACATACATATATCAAAAAACTTTACGTACACTAATGATTATTTATATAAAGTAAATGTAATTACAACAGGTTTAGAGGTTTTGGGCCTACATTTTGTTGCTATTATTTCCCCTAGACATCGACGTATGCTCTCCACTCAATTTCTAGTATTATTTCCGGATATTTTGACTCACGACTTCGAATACGATTTTCCAAAAAGTTCCTGATGTTTTGAATAGGATTAATGTATGGTGATTGCGGGACCTGTGAAATTAGTTTTAATTCCATAACAACCCCGTACGAATTATGCATGTAAACATGTCTACAAAAATTATGCTTATGAACATTGGATATTATGTTATACTTAAGGGGGTATTCTGGTTTAGAAGCCCGAATTGTACGTACGCTTTTTATTGATATTCTAAGAATACAAAACATAAGTAATATAAAAAGAAATCAAAAAAAAAAAACTGCAGGTCGGCGAAGTAGAGACTGATGAAACATGCTTGTCCTGGTGTGCAGGATATAAATCCTTTCCGTGACCTAAAATGAAAACTTATGCGAAATCCATATAGAGTAAAGGTGTAGTTACCGCACTACGAAACGTTGTTGAACAAAAAATTTTGGTTTTACAAAATTTTAGTGATAAAAAAAATTCTTTCGAAAGCTCTTCGTAGTGCGATACTATAATGTATAAGAAAACTTTGTGTAAAATTTCATGTGAATCTGTTGAGTAGAACTTGAGACACCATGCACACCGTTTCTAGAAATGGAGTTATGAGAAAAACGAGTTTAAAGTTGTCACCGGCTTCAAAACGAGTTTATCGGCGCGTCGGAAAATAATTTGAATTTCGAAAAATCCTTTTAGGGACATTACCTTGAAGGGTTATACTATAAAAATGTGTAAAAAATCGTTTTTTTTCGAATTTCTAAACCAGAATACCCCCTGAAAAGAATTGCTCAGGCCTTAAGACTCATAGGGAGTGGGCCACGCGTTACGTGGCCCCACTCACCTCGAGTGTCCAACAGAGGACCTCCACGGTCCCCAGGAGCACAAACAGGCAACATAGCTCCCACTCTGACTTGTCCCTCCCTCAACCTTCATCCCGCTCTAATCCAATCATCAACTCTTGGTTCCTCGCACAGTCTGTTCCGTGTGTCAGACCGTCATACCTCGGAACGTCACATCAGTTAATTGCAATTCCTGCACAGGCTGGTGTCACTTCCCGGCGCGTTCCAGGCTGCGCACCACATGTGAGTGGAGGGAGTCGTACGTTGGCCCATGCTGCAGGAGTCTGCCCCCGCAACCCACCCACACGTCACTCCCTCACCCCCAGGATCACCCACGGACACCCGCGACAACCCTTCAATTTAACTGCAACGGACTCCAGAGCAAGATCGATGAGATAGTTGCACTTATGAATCGGGAGCGTGTGTCGATAGCAGCGCCCCAAGAAACCAGGTTGAACAGCCGCTCAGATCTTCTGAGTTGTGCCGGTTTCAACGTTATACGTAAAGATCGCGAGCGAGATAATGGTGGTGACCTAGCCT